TATATAAAAAATATATCTTTATTGATTTCAGAGAGTGGAAAGGAGAGGGAGAGAGAGAGATAGAAACATCAATGATGAGAGAGTCATTGATCGGCTGCCTCCTGCAAGCTCCTGACTGGGGATCGAGCCCACAACCTGGCATGTGCCCTGACCGGGAATCGAACCCCAATTGCCTAGATCCTAGATCTACGCTCAACTGCTGAGCCATGCCTGGCCGGGCGCCCCAATATTTCGATTCAAGTAAAATAAAGAATATCAAAAGTAAACAATATATATATATATATCAAAAGTGACCTTTATCCTCTGGCCGGTGTTTAGTGGTTAGAGCATCAGTCCGGGCACTGAAGGGTCACGGGTTCTATTCCCAGTCAAATGAACATACCTGGATTGTGGGTTCGCTCCAGGAATATGAGGGAGACAACCAGTTGATGAGTCTCTCTCACATCGATGTTTCTTTCTCTTCCCCCTCCCTCCCTTCCACTCTCTCTGCAAAGCAATGGAAAAAATATCCTCAGGTGAGGATTAACAACAACAAAAAAAGAGTGAGCTTTATGAGGAAATGAAATCACACAAGTGCAGTGAAGTATATCTGCCCTGAGTATTTTTTTTAACATTGGCTGGCCTGGGCCGCTTTCTTCTTGCTTCAGATTGCCTCTGAGTCACTGTCTAATCAGTTAGTGCCCTGAAAGATTTCCCAGGGATTTTTCCAATTTACTATAATTATTTTTAATTTAATAGACTACTTTGTCTCTTTTAGATTATTCCTTCAATCTGTTTTTGCTGTTAAAAATGTTCTTTTGAGGAAGAAATCAAGGAAAACAGCAAAGTATGGCTGACATTTTTAACCTGGAAAAACTGGATCGTTTCCTAGGCCAGAAAAAACAATGTGTGGGAACCACTGAACTAGTGATTGCTAAGGTCCTTTAGGTTCTGGTTATGTGAAAGGTGTGAGAACTAAAGTCAAAGAAGTTAAAGGTAACATCGTAAGTCAAACTAGGTCCCACATCTTTACAAAGCTCTAACCCACTGTCATGCCAGAAGTCACCTTAGAACAGTGGTTCTCAACCAGGAGCAATTTTGCATCTCCCAGGAGACAAATGGCAATATTTGAAGATATTTTTGGTTGTCACAACTGGGTCAGGGGTGGGGGTGGGAGGTGTTGCTACTAGCATCTAGTGGATAAAGTCTGCTAACATCCTAATGCACAGGATAGCCCCCCACAACAAATTACCATCTAGCTCAAAAGGCCAACAGTGCTGAGACTGAGAATCTCTGCCTAGCTCTCTCCACTATGTAACTCATATTTTATTAACTTAATCACATCTGAATTCAAATTTCATCAAAGGAAACAAACATTAGGGAAATCTTAATCAAAGGAAGATATATGGCCTAAGATTACTTTGGCAGGCAATGACAATACAGTATGAAGATTTATTTCACATTCTATGTCTGAAATTAAAAATTCTCTTTTCATTAGGCAACATATTTCACTGGTTTAAAAAGTGTATGAGGGGAGAGGCTTTGAACAAGACAAGTCTGCACTCAAATTCTAGCTCTAACACTTCCCAGCTATAAGACTTTAGGGAAGTCCCTCAACCTTACTAGAGGTTGTAGAGGATTGTTTTAGAGTTGTTTTAAGGATTATATGAAAAATGTATTTAAAACACTGAGCACATGTGTCTAGAATATAATAAATACTAAATATTGTGTTTAATTTGAAGGAGGACTGTAGTTAAGAGTTGGGTTTTTGAAAATCCCTGCTCTGCTACTTACCACATAGCTTGAACAAGTTAATCTTACAAGTTTGAGCCTCAATTTCCTCATCTGTGAAATGGAGCTACATCATCCTTCTCACAGAAGAGTGATGAGGACCAATAAAATAAAATACACAAGGCACTCAATATAGTTGGAACATAGTAAGTGTTCCACATACAGAAATATCTTTGTTATTAAAGTGGGCCCAATAAAACCCAATGACATTTTCCACATACAGAAGTTCTCCCATATATGTTCTAAACTACATTTTGCCTAATTTTGTGCCATTTGGCCTCATTAGAGAAACAGTTGTTGCATTTCTCATAAAATATTTTCTGAGCTAGCAAATTCATCACTCTTCCTAGTCCTCTCTGAATCAGGAAGGTTTTTTGTTTTTTTACACCTTAAATACATACAATATTTATCAACTACACCTCAATATAAGGAAGGTTTTTGCCTTGATCTTTTTGGTATGAATAGTTTGACATAGGATGTATTTTTGCTCTGTTTTCACCATTAAATTGTAATTGCCTAGAAGGCCAGAACAGCAAAACAAATACCTTTTGTAAAGCAAAGTCTTTGCACTATTTCCTAGTCCCACTAGCAACTTAACCAACATATCAACATCAGAAAACTCACCTCTAAGCAGGACCCTACATACTTAGAGTGAATATAGGCTCCAAACTAAACTGTTTCCTTAACCTTAATAATTAATACATACCAAAAAAAATCCACATTTAGTAGTCAATCTCAGTATTCAAAGTTAAAGTTAAAATAGTTACCTAGAAGAAAAGGGAGACCTATTGACACTGCCTAAAATATCTCATCGTGCCCTAGCCAGTTTGGCTCAGTAGTTAGAGCATCAGCCTGCGGACTGAAGGGTCCCCTGTTCGATTCCAGCCAAGGACACGTGCTTCTAGGATGCAGGCTCGGATCAGCTGGTGGGGGAGGCAACTGATCGATGTGTCTCTCTCATGTCAATGTTACTCTCTCTCTCCCCCTTCTATTCTCTCTGAAAAGCAATGAAAAAAATATCCTCGGGTAAGGACTAAATAAGTAAGTAAATATCTCAATGTATCATGGCAAATTCCTAAGCTATTCATAGAATTATTCCATCATTTATAGGTGACACCTCTCTTAATTATATCAAAGGCTAAGTCACTAAAATTTCAAATCCAACACAAAAAGAGATTGCTCACCTCTGGAGATTTCTGTATATTCTGGAATACAGCATAGGCAGTAAGTGAACTTGAACCTATAACACTGACAGAAATAAAAGATTAATAAGACAACTGGGGTTCCTTCATTTTTGCTATAAATCAATAGCTGTAAAAATCATTACAGCTTCACTGACATATAATTGATGTAAAATAAATTGCACATATTTTTTTAAATATAGAGTGCTTCATGAATTTGTGTGTCATCCTTGCGCAAGGCCCATGCTAATCTTCTCTGTTTCATTCTATTTTTTAATATATGTACTACCAAAACAATTGATTTTGCAAGTCAATCCTGTTGACCAAGTTGTCCTTTGATTTTCAAGAGGTTAGCCCTTGATCTATTTTTTGTCTTATTGTTGTTGATATTGGTACATTTTATTAATCAGAAAATATCAACATGGTAAAGAATAGCATTTCTCTTTAACTAAAGATTAAAAGCAAATCCCCAGGGGAAGAAAAATGTAGAAACCTTCAGAATTCTCCAGTTTTACTTGTACCAGTTTAAAGTCATATTACATGAGATTAAACTTACCTCAAAGTAGCCATAACAAATTGTATCCACTGTATTGCAGAGTAAACCTAAACAAAATGAGAAAATAAGAATAAAACTAATCCTTTTACATTTAATATTCAATGTTGTTCCAGTTTCTCCATTTATTAACAATCTGTGCAGAGCACAAACTCTTTTTCAGTGCCTAATCAAAACACACTATAAAGCTGAGAATGAGTAAAAAGGCTGAATAGACCCCTGGAAAGGCAGGGTGGCTTCTTTCTTCTTCCCTTACTGCTACACCTTTGGGAAACAATAAGATACAAACAGAGGTGGACAGAAAGTGACTGAGTGAAAAAAACACACCACAGAGTTAAATGGGAAAATTAATAAAGGGAAGAATAAAATGGAGAAGCGGTAGGAAAAGTAAAATTTTGAGACAGGACAGATATATGGGAAGAATGGGTTAACAGGAAAGGCAAACAAATACGAAAGAGAGTTGAGTGACAGACAGACAGAAGGAAACAGAATACTAAGCAACAGAAAAATAGGAAAAAGAAAACAGTATAGAGAGAGATACTGTGAGTGAAAAATACACAACAGGGAGGAAGAAAGGGGGAGAAAAAAAGGAGAGAGGGACAGTTTCTAATCTCACCAAGTCCAGATTGTCCGTAAGAATTCTAGCCTCCAGTAGGAAGGCCATAGGGACTTCAGCCCCAGCTATGCTTAAGCAGCCAGATCCTTCTCGGTCAGGTTCTGAATCCCCAAGTGGTGAACAGGTGGCTCCACCCCTATCCCAGCTGGGCTCCTCCCTACCCAATCCTGCCTGGTATCTTGAGGACAAGCAGAAAAGGTGGCAACAAGTGGAGGAGAAAGCCAAGCAGAAAGAACAAAAATAGAAAAAGCAGGTGACAAGGAAACAAAGTTCTAAAAAGCATTAGAATTTTAAGAAGGGGTGAGGCAGGAATAATAAAAAGTAGAAAGAATGAGTCATAGTGAAAAGGTAAATAGAGCTGTAAGAAAGAAATGGAACAGAAAAATGGGAGAGAAAAATGGGGAAGGGAGGTCTGCTTCAAACTTGCCCCTTTTTAGAGACAGAAGCCTGTGAGGAGACAGACTGCATATTCATTCAATCAATAAAGTTTTAGTAATACCAGGAAAAAGCTGTGGAGAGAAGGGGTTATTAATATCTCATATTTACTTAATACTAACACCTTCAATATTCTATACCAAAAATTCCCACCAGAAACATAATTTTGTAGTTAAAGTACATGATTCATTTAATGTACTTATGTTTACATATCAAATTTGTGTAAACAGCATTCTGTTATGGAAGATATAAAGACAAGTAAGATATAGACCCATACTTGCAGGAACTTATAATACAGTAGGAAAAGACAGCATGAATACCAAAAATCTTAAATAATCTGCACACAAAAGTAATATACACTGATTGGCATTTGAACAGTATTTGTAAGAAATGGTAAAGTTTGGATAAAAACTGGAGGAAGGAGAAAGCAGAAGGAAGAACATTTCATTTATGTAACCATTTATTTCATCTAACTATACTTCATATACTCTACAAATATTAATAACACAAATTAGATAATTTGCATGGCTTGAGAAATTTAAATAGATGATTCATTTATTCATATGAGGTTAAGAATATAGTGTGGCCCAGCTGGGCCTGGCTCAGGGATTGAGCATCGACCTAGGATCCAGGAGATTGTGGTTCAATTCCCAGTCAGGGCACATGCCTGGGTTGCCAGTCTGGGGCCTGCAGGAGGCAGCCAATCAACGATGACTCTCTCATCATTGATGTTTCTATCTCTCTCCCTCTCCCTTCCTCTCTCTGAAATCAATAAAGATATATTAAAAAAATACATATATAGTGTGGAGTAGAAGGTAGGACATTGTTAGGTGGAGGTAGGCTATAATCACTTTGCTTATATTATTAAACAAGTAAATGAAAATACCAGTAAATTTCTGGATCAGAAATCCCTACTATAGGTCTTAGGGAGTGTTTTGCAGCCTCTAATCATATATCTGTGTAATAAGGGTAAGGGGACTAATGACAGTCTCACCAAGTGTTAAGGGAATGCTTCTGAACAAAGGACTCTTGTCTCAGTCAAGAACAAATCTCAGATTGTCCAGAGAACAGCCTTGCCAAATTAGTCTGCTGCTCTTGATAGAACTTCTCTCTTTTGGCATCTCTTCTAAAATGTCTTATGTAACCAGCCAACATGTGGGGATTTATTTTTCCATTTTTCTCTCAAAATTAGTCCTCTGCCTTCTGTATATTCAGCAACGTCCTCCTTCGAAATGTCTTTGGAAACATAATCTTCCCATCTTCCTCTTCTACAAGGGTTAACCCAAGCCCAAATGATTTAAGTGGGTGATATTTATTTTCAGTTTTCTTTTCTCCTCCTTTAAAAAAAATTTATTTGAAAGAAAGAGGAAGGGATAGAGAGAAGAAGGGGGAACGGGAGAAAGAAAAGGAGAGGGGGAGGGGGAGGAAGAGAGAAGGGGAAGGAGAGAGAAACATCAATGTGAGAAATATCACTTGGTTGCCTCCTGTACACACACCAACTGGGGATCGAACCTGCAACCTCGGTATGTGCCCTGACCGGGAATTGAACCCACTAACTCTTGGTGTATGGGATGAAGCTCCAACCAACTGAGCCACACTCGCCAGGGCTCCTCTCCTCTTTTTACTTACTTCCTTAGCAAGCTCAAACACACCCCAGCTCTCAATGTAATGGGCTACTCTATATTACATATCAATTTACGTTAACAGATATTCATTAAACTTCTACCATGAACAAGTTAATGCAGTGGATAAAAAGTCAAGAAAAATACCTACCTAGTAAAATATTTCTATTTAAGCAAAAATACTCAAGAGTTTTAGTAATAACAGCTACCAATTATTGAGTGCTTTCTATGTGTAAGGCTCTATGTTAAGCATTTAATCCTCACACAGCCTTTGAGATAGTAAGTAGTATTATTCCTATTTTACAGATAAAGAAACTGAGGCTTAAAGAAGTCATTTTCCTATGGTTACAGAGTTATAAAGTAGTGATGCCGAAATTCAAACTCAGTCAGTCTGACATCTCACTCTTAACACCTACAGTATTCTAACAGGGAACTGATTAATGGAAGAAAAGGGAAAGATAATTTTAAAAAATAACATGACATCAAGAGAGCTCTTTTTTTTCTTTCGGTCTTTATTTTACGCAATCTTTTTGTGACATTTGACATTGTTGGATGGGCCTCTACTTCTTTTGTTTGTTCATTTTTGTTTAAAATATTACAGCCCGGCCAGGCGTGGCTCAGTGGTTAAGCATCGACCTAGGATCCAGCCGATCAGGGTTCGATTCCCGGTCAGGGCACATGCCCAGGTTGCGGGCTGCAGCCGATCAATGACTCTCTCATCATTGATGTTTCTATCTCTCTCTCTCCCTCTCTTTTCCTCTCTCTGAAATCAATAAAGATATATTAAAAATAAATAAATAAAATAAAATATTACAGATGTCCCTTTTTCTCCCCAATGACCCATTCCGCCGTCCGATCCTCTTCCCCAGTCCCTCACCACACCATTGTCCGTGTCCTTGAAGAGAGCTCTTTTATTAGGCAATTGCTTCTTACATATGACAACAAAAGCACAAGCAACAAAAGAAAAAATATATTGGTCTTCAATTAAAACTTTTGTGCTTCAAAGGATACCCTCAAAAAAGTGAAAGGGCGCCCTGGCCAATTTGGCTCAGTGGTTAGAGCATCAGCCCATGGACTGAAGGGTCCGGGTTTGATTCCGGCCAAAGGCACAAGCTTCGGTTGCAGGCTCAATCCTGGACCCACTGGGGTATGTGCTGGAGGCAACCAATTGATGTGCCTCTCTCACATTGATGTTTCTCTCTCTCTTTCTCCCCCTGCTTCCACTTTCTCTGAAAAGCAATGGAAAACATATCCTTAGGTGAGGATTAAAAAAAAAAGTGAAAGGGCAACCTAACATAATGAAATATTTGTAGAACATATATTTGATAAGGGACTTGTATTAAAATATACAAGGAATTCCAACACTCAATAATAAAAAATACAACCTAATTTTAAAATAGGCAAATGTTTTAAATAGAGACTTCTCTCAAAATATACACAAATCACTAATAAGCCCCCTAAAAGATGATCAACATCATAAGCCGCCAGGGAAATACAAATTAAAATCACAATGAGGTGCCATTTCATGAGTACCAGGATGACTATAATAAAAAAGACAGACACTAGCAAGTGCTGATGAAGATGTGGAGAAAAAGGAAACATCATACACTGCTGGTAGGAACGTCAAATATTGTAGCCACTTTGTCAGTTTCTCAAATGGTTAAACATACACTATACGATTCAGCTTCTAGATATAAACTCGGTTCTACGCCTAGGTATATTTGGACACAAATGTTCATAACAGTGTTATTAATAATAGACAAAAAGTAGAAACAACATAAATGTCCATAAACTGGCAAAGGGATAAATAAAACGTGGTTTATCCATGCAATGAAATATTATTCAGCAATTAAAAGGAAAGAAGTACTGACACATGATACAACAGGGGTGAACCTTGAAAACATTATGCTAAGTGAAAGAGGTCAGTCACAAAAGACCACATATTGTATGGTTCCACTCATATGAAATGTCTAAAATAGGCAAATTTATACAGATACAAAGTAGATTAGTGGTTACCTAGGGCTAGGAAGGTAGTTTGGAAGGAATGGAGAGTGACTGCTAATGGGCATAGGGTTTCTTTTTAGGGTAACAAAAACATTCTAAAATTAGATAGCGGTGATGGTTGCACAACTCTATGAATATACTAAAAACTACTGAAATGTACACTTTAAAAGTGTGAATTACATGGTAGGTGAATTATATCTCAATAAAGCTGTTGCCAAAAAAATGAAGTACGCAACAAACGCAAGGAAGGAAATGTCTCAATGCTGAAATTCATTAATGATTAATGGATAACATGTTTCTGTCTTTACTACTGAAAAGAATAATATTGAAATTAAAAAGTGTAAAATAAACACTGCAAGAGGGAACTGAAGAGAAAGATTTTGAGAAAGCACCTGACTGCTCTAAATGAATCCACCACTCCTGGCCTGAACAACTTATACTCCAGGACCGATAAAACTTGCAGGTTAACCCAATAAACCATTGAATGAAATCTGAGGTTTCATGTAAAAATGGGAAAACTGCTAGAAATGATAGAAAACTGGTTATCACTAAAAACATTTTTTTTATTTTTATAAGATGGTAAAATCTGCAAACCATAAGTGAAAGATCATAGCATTGATCTCAGACAAGATTCTAGAATGAACTATCCAAAAGATATGTTTTTAAAGAATTAGAAAAATATAATCATTACATCAGCAAGGATTCATAAATAATCATGCTTGATTAACCTCATTTTCTTTTTGGATAGAATTACTACCCATAATATATATGGTATTTTGACAAAGCATTTGATAAGAAATTTTGCCTCCTACTCCCTACAATACCCAGGGTGAGCTTTTTGATTTTCCACAACGGTGTGAACTGTGAGACTTTATGACTTCCTAAATATGGAGGATTGTACCTGGCTTATTTGTGTAGACTGTCAGGGTCCTGAAGCCAAAAATCATATCATGAGATAACTGACTGAGACCAGGGTACTATTAAAAGGAGGCAATGAGACAACTACTATACTTTTGCATTTCATAGAAAAAGTACCAATATTAACCTTCCCTCTCCAACCAATCCACTTCCTTCACTTTTTTCAAAGCCCACTTCTAAACTAATCATGACTAGAAAGTCACTCCTGATCAATCATATTAACTAGGTATACCCAAAGAATCTATATACTCAGAAGTGAATAATTTAAAAACAGTCTGTCATATAAAGGGTTCTAAAAACTCTTAATAGCTCCTATTGACTACAGGACAAAACAGGAAATTCTTAGTTTTATTTTTAACACTCTCCCCTACCTGAGCTTAAAACTGTCTTATTAACTACAGTTTTGAGAACTCCTCCCAGCCAAGTCGGTCATTCCCTGAAGTGTCAGGTTCATTCCCACTTCTGCTCCTTTTTCATCTGTCCTCAACCTAAAATATTCTTTCTTCCAAGGCTTAACTCCATCTCCACATCCTACATGCAGCCTTCTTTAACCACCTTAGCTCATAGTAAGTTTCCCCTCCTCTAACTTCTGTCATTTGTCTATGTAGCTCATTTTACTTAGTAATTAGGGCAAAGTCAAAATAAAATTTTCCAAATCTCCCCCAACACACACACACACACACACACACACACACACACACACACACACACACACACATATTTACTGGATACATACAATGGTAAATATGGTGCTAACCCTCTTATTATGTATTACATAACTTATTCTCTTACCCTCACATCCGTTTGTTCATCAAGTCTTGTGAATTCTGCCCTACAAAAATTACTCAATTCCATCCTTACCTCTATTTATCCCTACCATTATGTCCTATTGCAGGGCATTAACCTCTCCTACCTACTGCATGACCCTTAAATGGTCTGTCTCAGCCTTCTCCCTTCCAACCCATTCCTTTCACTCTTCAATGACCGCAAATCTGAAGTCACTTTCCTAGTTAAAACCCTTGATGGCTCCAAACCTTTTAACATAATGAAACCCTCTACAACCAGTCCCAGATGACCTTCGGATTTAGCAGGCTTTTCCCCTTGCTAGAAATATCCTTTGGTGCTTGCCGCCCTGCAAATGCCTCCTCTTCTTTCAAGATCCATCTTGAAAGTCCTCTCCTGTCTATAACTTTCCCTGACATTCCAGAACAGGACTGACTGAATCTGCATTTGTGACAGTCGTATCATCTACCACTTACACCGTTAGAGGTACAGTCCTATTCCTACGTCTCCTCCCCGCACAGAGTTCCTCCCGTGCAGAGCTCCGTCTCCATCATTTCTGTACACCCGCAGGATCCGGTGTAAACAAACCATACCCATAAAAAGTATCTGTTCAATAGAATTTTTAGGATTTTTTTTTTTTTTTTTTAATCCTCACCCGAGGATATTTTTTCCATTGCTTTTCAGAGAGAGTTGAAGGGAGGGAGGGAGGGAGCGAGAGAAAAAGAGAGAGAGAGAGAAACATCCACATGAGACACACCGATTGGCTGCCTCCCGCACGCGTCCTGACCGGGGCCGGGATCAAGCCTGCAACCGAGGTACATGCCCTTTGCCAGGAATCGAACCCGGGACTCTTCCCGTCTGCCGACCGACACTCTAACCACTGAGCCAACCGGCTACGGTTTTAGGATTTTTATTTTAATTTTTTAAATCTTCCTGGAGCCTACGACTTGCTGGGGGGGCACTCAGCTTCCAATAAAGCCCTGCGTCTCCCAGGTCAGGCACTTGCCTCAGAGTAGGCCGGACGGTCAGACTGGGCAGAGGGCAGGCGTGGCCCCGACTGCCACACCGACCAAGAGCCGCGCCTGGCTCACCAACCCGGGCCTGGCTGAGGGAGGTGGCGGCGAACGACTGACTGAGGGGAATACGGGGCCGAGTGCGGGTAGTAGCAAGTCAGAGTAACACACAGACTAACCGAAGGTAGCAGTGGATCCCAACCGACCGCCTGACGCACCGAAGGCAGGGAGAAATACGGGCTGGCGTCGTCACCTTCAAGGACGCGCAGAGACCGAGGGCCAAGGGCTTCAAACACACCACGCATGGGCCTCGCGCCTCTCCTCACGCGGAGGAAGCCGGGAAAAGGGAGGCCCGGTTGCGCGCCACAGCGAGTGCGCGTGCGCCGCAGTCTCTCACTCGGCCTTTCTCGCGCCCTCCTCCGC